TACAGAAGATGATCAGTAGTCAATATACCGTTGTGATTCTAATTCAGTGAGGAATAAAAGTAGTTTTCTATGAAAAGCTTTCAGAGCAATCCCTAGAGGTTTTAAAAGTAAAACATGATAGTGTCACTTTAATAATACATGAATAGCATCTTCATATTGATCACGATCTGCGGCAGAAACTAAAAGGTCACATTGCAGTGGAGAAAAACGAAGTTTTGTTGAATTTCAAACGTTTCTTGAAAATCATCCAAAAATCAAAAATTGTATGTCGATGTGTCTGCCACCGCTGATGACGAAGTGAAAGGAATGCCATTATGTCTGTTATACGTTTGTTGCGCAGCTCAGGGGTAAGAGAGGATTTCACTATTCTCGATGTATAGTTCAACACGTATTGACAATTATGTTTTAAAAAGTTGCTAAGAGTTGAGAAATCTATGCGTGATATAGTCTACAATGATCGAAAACTTCATAACTTATATCACATCATTTCGAGCTTTCGAAATATCGCTTGTCGAAAAAACAAAAAATGTGTGTATAATCAAAACTTGAGATTTTCTTGTAATCACAGTAAACAGGTATCCATATATGCAGTTGTTGAATACTTTTAATATGTCTCACGTGGGAAGTTCCTCAGTGATCAATCGCTTTTTCGTAGAAACAAACATGACTTTATGTAGTTCACGGCACCGATCCTGAATATCAGGGTGTTAGCAGTCCTTAGGCCTTTCTAGATTTTGTGTCATTACTCTAAATGCTCTTCTGATAAGGATATTTCTCATTAAATTCAATCTTTTAACTAGTCTAGGATGTACCACTAGACAAAATATCCATAGGGACACTTATTTATAGACCCTTCAATCTTAAGTTTCAAATACTAAGCTATAAAGCAGCGAAGTAATGCTTATATTGCCTACCAACAATCATCTGACATTTCTTTCCGTTGCATCATCACATATTCACAAATTAATCATAACTGTACTATATTTAGCAAAGTACATAACAATGGAAGAAATAAAACACACGTATGCTAATTTATCAAAATATAAAACATTGGTACTGTGAAGACATATTTCCAAAAAAAACGTTAAATTGAGCGTGATTATGTTGTGTAATACATACGATAAAAATATTTCTTTATCCTTTCATTATGCGAAAAATATTAACCCGAAAAGGGCACTTTTGCACAGTTAGTCTTTTTCTGTCTTATAATCCATCTTAGCATTTGAAACTTAAGGTTGAAGGGTCTATAAATAAGTGTTCCTATGGATATTTTGTCTAGTGAAACATGCTAGATTGATTAAAAGATTGAATTTGATGAGAAACATTCTTATCAGAAGAGTGTTCAGAGTAATGACACAGAATCTAGAAAGGCATAAGGGCCGCTAAGACGGAGTGTGTGTATGGGATATTGGTATGAGTGTAGTTCCAGATCGACTTTGCACTATCACCAAAGCACCCTCACCCTTACACCCTGCACCGAAAACAGAGCAAAATATAGAGCTATCTCTGATAATCAATAGGAAATGTAGAGAACTGGGCCAATTTCTCTGTCGGTATGAATTCTGTTGAACGGCAGTATGCAAGGAAATAAGACAAAATCGAAAACTGCAAAAGCACTAGGAAAGTTACAGCGTTGTTTAATATCACCTTTTATAGCAACATTTCGCTCAATAAAACTGTCGAGTTCAACAATCTTGAATACCTTCGTAAAGACACTCCCGAAAATATGATACAACATTTTTTGGCATATAGTTTGAAAATTCATCAAATTCGTCTTCTAACTATTGTTTTTATTCACGTTAAATATGTTACAAGTAAATCAGAACAGGCCTTTATGTTGTTTAGAACTCTTTGATCTGTTGGTTGTGAGCGAAATTAAACGACATGAGCCAAGGTTTCGACAAACGTATGATTTCATCTTTCAAGAATACAATGACAGCTAGAGTACATCCTAACCAATTGGAAAGTACAATGATTTCAATTCCACCTTTCTCTATTACAAATGAAAGATCTGAGGAAGAAAGTGAGAAAAAAGCAATACAAACCATTTATGCTAAGTTGAAACAAGTGAGTGTTCATATCGACAATATTCATTGGTTTTATCGTGATATGTGAACAGGCCGCATGTTGCAAAGGCGAGCAAAGAAGACAAGAGCAATGGAAAGAAGTCAAGGACCTTCTAAACCATAGACAATACAAAGGCAATAAGAAGCAAATACTCGAGAAACTTGATGATGATAACCACTATGCGACAATACACTATGCTGTCCTGTCGAACAACTGGTATGTCTGTGACAAGTTGCTCAATCAATATAAATGCAGTACAGACAGTCTTATTTTTTTTTTTAAATTCTATCGTTGTTTTGTCTATCCCTTCCTCTCAAGATGTCAACTTGTTGGGGTGGGATGGTGCAACCCCACTTCATCTCGCTGCTAGTTCGTCCGAAATAGATAAAGAAATGAGTGAAACAAGTAATGGAGCAGAGTCTCGTAAACAGGTAATACGCATATCAAGAATGATTTTTTTCTCATATACCATTAATCTTTTGCTATTTGAAGCATTCGATCCTACAAATTTTATTAAACACGCCTAAAATTGAAAAAAATATGCGAGACAATCAATTACGAACACCATTACATCATGCTATTATGCGAAATCACATTGCCATCATCGATAAATTGATCAAAGCAGGTGCAAAAATTGATGTAAGTTGGCACTGTAACTTAGTTTTTGTTCTCGTAGTCATCAATCGATCAAAATGTTTTCCTGTTTGGAAATCATATGACAATAATTTTTTGTTTGGCTAATTTCATCGATTTCTTGTTCGTCTAGGTTTAAGTTAAAACGATGATTTTATTTTGATAGATACCTGATGTTCAAGGAGCTACTCCGGTTCATTATGCTTATCGTTTTGGGAAAGACCAAGAAATGTTTGATCGGTTTCCTCTTGACTCTAATTTGTTCAAACTGAAAACACTCGACAATAAGACACCGCTGGAAATGGCCGTCGAATATGGGCATACCGACATCGTTATACGGTATTTAAGTCAGGAGAATCCTCGAGCAAATCCTCGTCTTGGTCTTCAAGTTCTTATTGAAGCCATTCGCCAGCGTCATGAGAACATCATATCCTCTTTTGTTCTAAGGCCAAATATTGATAGTTATCTACTTCATTCGGTTTGTCGACAAACACATGGACATGAATTAATTTCAAATGAAAAGATTTCTCATCAACTCATCACTAAAAGTACAATGACAGAAATTAATACAGATGGATTCACAGCGTTGATGGTAGCAGTTAAATATGGACAAGTTGAATGTGTCAAGAAGCTACTCAATCATCAATACTGTGATAAGGACGTACTCGAAATGCGTAGTGTAGATTCCGATCGAACAGTATTGCATATTTGTGCAGAAGTTAAAAGCAATCAGATCACTGATTTGTTATTACCGAAAGCAAAACAGTTTGCGTTAGATTTGATGCCTGTTGATGTGATGGGTAATACACCTTTACATATTTGTGTCCAGAAAGACAATCAACACATGATTGATCCATTGCTATCAGACAGCAGCATATCTTTGACTGTGTCATCTATTACACAAGATAAGAGTAATCGAAGAACAGAAAATTTAGGTGGAATTCCGAAAATGTTGAAGATTAAGAACAATAATGGATTAACCGCTTTTCATGAAGCTATTGAAAATGGACATTACGAAATTGTACATAAAATACTTATGAAGGTGAACTATTCTGTACAATTAATTGAAGAACGTGATCAGCAACTCCGTACAGGCTTGCACATAGCTGCATTAAAAGGTGAGTTTATATTATTATTATTACAGTAATGTAAGTTTTGTCAGTGTTGTCTTCAATCAAATATAAAGTATTTTTTCTTTAATGTGTTGCTATGGACTTCAAAGTGACGCTTCTTCACCAAGATGAGCCATCTTATTTCACGAAAAACGTCGTTTTCTAAGGTTAATAAAATTATTCCTACAGATAGGTTTAAGAGCGTCTCAAGTGTGATAAAATCAGAAACTCTGATTCCTCAATCATAGATATATATACTTTCCAATAGTTTCTTCGTCCAGTTCGATCATTCTGGAAAATGACGTTTGATTACTTATTCTTAGGTAATTCGAAACTTGTTGAACTATTCATACAACATGAAGCAAATGTGCATGCGTGCAATATAAATGATCACACACCATTGCACGAAGCTGCTCGTTGGTCTGATTCTGATGAAGAGGAAAATGAAAACCGCATCGAATGCATCAACCTTCTAATAAAAAGAGGCGGCAAAATAAACGCATTAAACATTCGTCGAGAATCACCATTACATGTGGCATGTCGATACGGCTCTTCTTCATTGGTTAAATCTTTGGTGAAGCATGGTGCCGATATATTACAGACAAATATTCAAAATTATAATTGTCTCGAAGTGGCAATTGAAGAAAAAAACAAAGAAGTTGTCAAGTATCTTATTGATCACGATTACATTTTTGAATTAATGCGTAATGCACAACTTTACGAAAGCATGAGTTGTGAGCCGTGTGATACATGTGGTAATGAGACTTGTCATACATGTTGTTGTGCACCATGTTGTAAATGCATGAATTGTTGTGAATTATGGTTCTGTCGTTTGTGCTTGGATCGTCGCAAGGTTGATACACCTATGCGGAAGCTCATTATTTCTATGCCTGATATGGCTTTTGAAATTCTTGAAAAATGTACAATAACCATTGGTTCTGACAGATCAAAAATACATATGAAATTTTTCAATTATGAATTCTTGGAAGACCAATACGCCGTTCACGATTGGCTCAAAGGTAATTCATGTGTTGAGCAATAGAAAGCTCGCTTTTAAGTCAAAAGCACTGCATAATACTTCTCAAGGTTTGCTATGAACTTTATTTTTGACAGAAACCGAATGTAAGCGATCATATGTCTTTATCACCTGATAATTTGAGTAACTATAGAAGATATCTGCATCTCATAGAGAAAAACAACTAGCTAAATTTGCAATATCTAAAGCCTATCTGTCAATGATATGGGCACATCTGATAAAGTGAATTTCGATCAAGCATTTTTTATGTTTTCCGTATTAAACGTTAATTATAAAATAATAAAATCATTTCTTTGATATATTAAATTAGAAATATTTTTTCACGACTCGAAAACTCTTCTGATCATATATTAACTAGTAAGAACATTTTCTCGCATTAATGAATTATTGAGATCTTATTTAAATCGAGTTCAAATAGTTATAGAATGAGTTATTTGCCATTGCCTTTTTGATATACTTCAACAAAAAGCAACTTTCGATTCATTTTGTATTCGGTTCCGTACTCTCTTGAAGATGATAGTTGATCACTGTTCGTAGACGCTTGAATTGTATTTTTCAT